CTATAAACTAGGCATTGCCAACAGCCAACTCGGGCAGTGCTGAGGACTGGGTTAGGTGATGTATGCAAAACCTACGGCCGAGTTCATGTCATTGTCTAAGCCCTCAGGTACCCCTATCGTTGCAATGAATAAGGCCCTGTGCGGTTTCCCTGCAAAACCTACCCCCAGGCATCGGTGGCTTTGGCATCGCACCTGGCATCCTTTGCTTTAAAGTGACCCTGGGCTGGTGATGATAGTTACCTCCCCACCCCCGTTCGTCCCTCATACTGCACACCCAAGACCTGTCGAGTCTACTCTGAAGAAAAACAAGTGACTGTGCTTGAGATGTTTAGTGCTCTTCGCTGAGCCCAGGTCTGTCTGCTCTGCGGGAAGCCTGGTGCTGGGAGTCCCTTGTACATGGAGAATACATGGCCAGCATGGACTCAAAGGCCGGCAAGCTCAGTCTGTGCTGCGGAGACAGTGATTTCTTTTATAGCATTATCAATAATAAATTAAAGAAATCCTTGTTTTGATGTTGGAGAGGTGGCTCAGCAGTTAGGAGTGCTCACTGTTCTTGCAGGGGACCTGGGTTCAGTTCCCAACACAGACAGGGCAGCTGACAACTCATTCCAGAGGATCCAGCACCCTCTTCTGGCCTCTGAGGGCATTGCGTGCATATGGTGCTTATAAGCAATCAAAACATTCATAACACAAAATAAAAACAAATCTTTTTTAAATTCCTGTTTTGTATTAAGGATTATCTAGGCTATGAGAGACCTTCATTGATTCTGTTGCTATAAGTGGAAGACTTACTATGTGCCAGGGACTCGGAAAGGGCAAGGATGAATAAGGCCTCCCCTCGAGGAGGGCGCATCAGAGGGGTGTCCTTAGGTGAGAGGAGGAGTGTATAGGGAATGCCAGATGGAGGAAGGCCAAAACGTCACACGGGGGAAAGTTGGGCTGAGCCCCCGAGTTCACCTTAGTTGTCTGCACAAGCTTAGCATATCTCAAGTGCAGAGCCTAGCAAAGGCTGAGCTGGGCCGGCCAATTAGAGAGCAGCAGCCCAGGACGGGGGAGAGGGAGGTCAGAGAAGCACAGCAGAAGCTGGCTGGGGTGAAGCCTGACAGCAGCCCTCACACTGTTTGCCCTTGAGGAACGGGGAGCAGTTTTCCAGAAAGGATTCTAGGAAGAGGAATAGGACAGCTGGTGGCCGAAGAGGTGAGCAGCAGCCGCTAGCAGCTGGGTGACCAGGTAAGAGGGACCCGGAGATCCGACCCGGGGAGCAGCCCTGCCAGTGACAGAAGTGGCACCAGTAAAACTCTTTTGGGTCTTAGGGTGGGACACAAAGATACACAGTGGGGTGTGAGGCTCAATGCCTCTTCCCAAGGGTTGTGAAGGTCCCAGGAAGTGGGGCAGTCCTGGGAAAACACTCAGCAGCTGAGAGCACTGGGTGTCCTGAGGACCCAGGTTCAATTCCCGGCACCCACATGACACCTCATGACTGTTGTAACTCCAGTTCTGGGAGAGCTGGTGCTCTCTTCCGGCTTCACAGGCGCCAGATATCTGTGGTGCACAGACATGCACTCAGGCAAAGCACTCATATGCATAAAATAGAAACAAAATTTTAAAAAAGAAAATAAAATTAAATGGAAGAGGTGGTTCTACAGGGCAGGCCAGGGAGGAGGGAGCACTGAATATCTGATACTGCAAGCCACACCCTACTGCGAGCCACACCATACTGGGAACCCACACCGTACTGGGAACCCACACCGTACTGCGAGCCACACCATACTGGGAACCCACATCATACTGCGAGCCACACCGTACTGGGAACCCACACCGTACTGCCTATTCAAGCTGTTGAAAGTAAAAGGTAGCGAACAGCACAGACAGCTGAGAAAGGCAGGGTTCCCTCCAGGTCTCACGAAGTTTTCAAGGAGAGAAGCAGGATTGTGCGTGGAGACTCTTTCCCAGGGCCTGAGCTACGCTGAGGGCCAGCTCCAGGGGCTCTGCCTGAGCTGCAGACCTCGGTCTAGAGACTGTCGAGAGCAGACTGGGCTCTGTAGCCTGGGCCAGGTCTTGAGCCACCCTGTAGCCTGCACTCAGGACAGTTTTCTGTTTACTTCCCACTCCAGCACGAGAGTGGGCACAGCTGGACACAGGCGTGGTAACACTGCAGTAACCAGCTAGACTCAGGCCAGGACTCACCTCCTGCAGGAAGGCCTCCTGGAGTTACTCGTCACTCCAGCACTCTTTGAAGAGGCGGACACCTTTATTCCTTTTATTGTCCCTGGAGAAACAGACCTTGGGTTAAACTGAACTCTTCTGGAACTTCTGCTCTCTGGATCCAGTCTGGCCGTCTAAAGCGCTCTTTCTGGAACCTGCAGTTCCTCAAGGTTCTAACCACATCCTGAAATGAAACGAGACACCTGTGATTAGACTTGGCAGGAAAGGACTTGTTCTCAGTGTCAGCTCAGCATGCCAGCAACAGGAAGATATTCCTGGAGAAATATCAATTTCATGGATGCCACAGGGCTTTGGGGTTGAGGGTTCCTGCCCCATGCAGACACAGTCCTAGAATCATGGCAAACAAGGGCCAGGAGGTTGGGCCCCATGAGCCTTGGGAAAGAAATAACCCCTAATATAGTAGGTGGTTGAGTTCAGAGCTCTGCAGGACCCACGTCCCTTCCTACCTGTGCTCACAGCCCTGTGGCTGCCAGGGAGCATCCACTCCCAGGTCTCTCCCTCCCTTGGGCCTGTTGTTCATAAGACTGTCAGAGCCAAGTTACCCCAAGTCCTAGTTGAGGAAGACATGGGGGATGGGCTCCTCTAGATAGAGCACGCACTCACTACCTTGCTGCTCAGAGAGCAGAGCCCAGGCTACACCAATACTGATTCCAATCGGTCACTGAAGAGTCTTTAAATAGCCAGCATAGGGCAGGGGGAACATTAGAAGGGCTGGAGAGATGGCCCAGCAGTGAAGAACACTTGTTGCTCTTGCAGAGGACCCAGCACCCTCATGAGGGCTCACAACTGCTCAGAACTCCAGTTCCAGGGGATCCAGAACCCTCTTCTGGTCTTTAAGGTACCAGACATGCATGTAATACACATACATGCAGGCAAAACAGTCAAACACATAAAATAAAAATTAATTTAAAAAAAGACCAGAATACAAAAAGACAGTTATAGTGGTGGTGTATCTTTTGTCCCAGCACTCAGGAGAAGAGCAGGTGGATCTCTAAAAAATCTAAGAGCATAAAATCTAAGGGCTACATAGCGAGTTCCAGGCCTGGGCTATACAGTGAGCGACTGCCTAAAAAGAGAAGAGGAGAAACTAAGTTGGGCTGGGGACATAGCTCAGTGGTAGAGCGCTTGCCCGGCACATGCTGTCTCCAGCGCTACAAAAACAAACAAACAAACAAACAAACAACAACAACATCCCAAAACTGCATTGCATGATTTTATTATATTTTCCTCTCCGTTGTTACCTATGGCTACAGCACGCATCAAAGTCTCAGAACAGCTCTTGGCATAAGAAACTTCTGAGGTGTAAAGGCTACAGACTCAACAAGGATCTTTGGAAAACTTTATTTTTGCTTTTAGTTTATGAATTTTGAATAATTAAAATTTAACACTTTATCTTCCTGAAGGTGACAAACATTACTTGATATAAAATTAGAACTGGGGCTGGGGAATGGACCTCAGTGGGTCAAGTGCCTGTCTAGGCCACACGAGGCCCTCCTCTCCAACCCCAGCACTGGATAAATTGGTGACACCTGTAATCTCAACACTCAGGAGGTGACAGCAGGAGGCTCACAAGTCCAAGGTCATACGGCTACACAGAGTTTGTAGGCAGCCTAGGCCACGTGAGGACCTGTCTCAAAAAGGAACTAAAAACTGTGTTCTTCAAAATTTATACTTCTCAATGAAGTAAGCACAGTTGAACAATCACATTTTCAGGTAATTTTCGGTACGGCACACACTTTATACTTCTGATGTCATCGTATGTGTAAGCTGCTGTGAGACTTTTGAGCTTTCCTGCCACACTGATATGAGTCCAGGTCTAGGAAAATGCCTTCTTTGTAGCCCCACATTTAAAACTCGGTGACACAACCCTCTTCCAGGAGAGTCTCCTCTGATCTTCTGCCATCTTCAGTAAAGGAATAGGAAACATCAGTTATACAGAATTCATAAAACTAAAGCAGAGTTAAGCATTATTTACCTGTCTTTGTCTTCCTCTCTTTCTCCTCCCCAGCCCCCAGTGCTGAGGATCTAAGCCAGGGCTTCACACACGCAAGGCAAGGGCTTTTTCCCACTGAGCCACACCTCCACCTCTGGCCTCCTGACTTCCCTCTTCTTCATTGTCATCAGGACACAAACCTGCCTGTGTCAGTGTGTCTCTATGCCAGGCCAGGGATCTGGACTCCCGGACTTCAAGGGCCATGCCATTTCTACCATCTGTCACTTGCGAAGTCTGGAGTACCAGCTGTATGAGTAGGTGACCCAGCCTGTCATAGATGGAAGGAGCTAGCGTTGGTCAGCTTTGGACAGTGGCTTTCTAATGACGCCGAGCGCACCTCCCACAAGTGTTTGAGTTAGGTGGCATTCTGCTGTCACACGCAGCTTGCCATCTGGGTATCCAGCAGCCTTGTTGTGTCTGTGAGCCTACTTTGGTTGGATGACTGCAGACACGCAGCTAGAGGCTCCCAGGAGCAGGTGCTGGTTTGGGTTCTCAGAGCTCTGCTATGTTCCTGTCACTCTTACCTCCCGATGGCAGTGCTACAGGGCCTGGGCTCTTCTGCACCTCTCCTCCGTCCCTAACCCCCCTTACTGCATTTCCCTTCTCCCCAACTCCCACTCAGGGATCCTATGCTTGAAGATGTCAAAACTAGGAAGCACCGAGTGAGGTCTTGGCTCTCATGAGAGACAGGGTCAGCCACCCAGACGGTACCCAGGTGGCCTCTTTGTAATGAAGTTTCTTCCTGTATATGCAAATGAACTGCACACCTCTGGGAGAAGAGAGACGTGGCCTTCTGTGGCTTTCAGGGAGAGAGCTGTCACACCATCCCCACAGGATATTTGCTCAAGTTAATTGGCTCACCAAGGCGTTGGTGTAGACAGGTGGACCTCACGGAACAGGTTGGTTTCAAGATCCTGGAGGGGGAAGGGAGCTACAAGGTTGTATGGCCAAATGGTTGTCCCTTCATCCGATGACATGCTCTCTTCATCAAGCCCAGCTGCCTTTACCTCCCCTGTAGTCACACTATGAGAAGATGACCAGATGGCCTCTAGGGCTTTCCTTCCCTGTCAGATGTCTCTGGTCCCAGGATGGTGGGACATTTCCACTACCTGTCCCTGAGTTACACCTTCACAGACACTTTGGCTCTTCCTGAAGACCAACACTACAGTAATGTCCTGGGTTCGTTCTCCCAGAACAGTGTGATAAGTTATTTCTGCAGCCAGCACATCTAGGTTCATTCTAGGTTTACAGAAAATGTTGAACTGAAGTTATCCAAACAGATTTTCTACTGAAAAAAAAAAAAAAAAACCAACCAGTTTCTCACCACTGTGTAACAGGATCAGGGTTGGCATAAAAAGTGTTTGTTACACCTTTGTCGTCTTACCCCAAGCATAACTCACTGGAAATCAGAACAGCAGGCAACTAAACAGGAAGCCGGGCTTTTATCCCCAGGGTCTCGGGTGTGGGAGCTGGGCCTCTCTAACCTCCTAGGGTTGAGTTGAGTTTTGCCATCTGTTGGCTGGTGGTGGGTAGGAGGAGACAAGCTGGGGGTCATGGGACAGATGGTTCTAAGGGCTGGGGCTAAGAAGTTTGACCCTCTCTTCTCTTGGGGCAGTCTGCTCCTGGTCCCAGGAGTCCTTCTCAGGATGGTTGGAGACTTCCACCTGCCACAGCCCTCAGGTCTGCAAGCAGCCAGCTAAGTCCGCTGACTTGAGCAATTCCCCAGTGCTTCCAGAAGCACCCCTAATTCCTGGTTCACACCAAGATCTGTGATGTTCAATCCCTTCACGGTACCAAGGTAACCAAGCCCTTGCTGGTTATGTCCTACTTTCTGGGTGCCCTTCCTCTCTACCCGGAACTGTCGTCAAAATCTGTTCTCACCCTGGAGGATGAGATGTAGTACCTGCCAGACTCCTTTGCTCTGGGCTTCTCTACTTCGTGATCAGCAAAGCCCTGGCCACGTTTCTTTAGATTAAGGCTGTTTAATGGGGGCAGATTCATCCAGCAGTCAGCTTGCCATCTGCATTTATTTACCTTCCAGGCTAACCAGACGCTTGGCATGGCTCTCCTTTCCTTCCTAAGGTCTCAGCAAAGCAAAGCAAAACAGACAGTCAAGACACTTGCTTATAATGCTTTTTTTTTTTTCCAAAAGTCTTCTGAAGCTGGAAAGGTGGCTCAGCTGCTAAAAGAACTCACTGCTCTCCCAGAGGGCCTAAATTCAGTTCCAGGCATCCACATCTGATGGCTCACAACTGCCTGCAACTCCAGCTCCAGGTGAATCCAACTCCTCTCTGGCACATACACATAATTAAATTAAAAACAAATAAAAAGAGGTCTTCCTAGTAGGATGTGGTGGCCCAAACCTGTGTTTTCAACCATTAAGGAAAACCAAGAATTCAAGGTCAGGGGCTAGAGAGAAGGCCCAGTGCTTAAGAGCATGGCTGCTCTTGGAGGGACTTAGTGCCTCACAACCACCTGTGACCCCAGTCCCATGGGACCCACTGCCCTCTTCTGCCTTCCATGGACACCAGGCATGCACGTGGCACACATATACGAATGTAGGCAAGAAAGCCATTCACACACATAAGATAAAATCAATAAATCAAAAATGAGTTCAAGGTCACTTCCATTTGCGTGGAGAATTTGAGGCAATCCTAGGCTACGTGAAACCCTATCTCTAAAAGAACAAAAGAAAGCTAGGTTTTCTAGGTGTATCACGGCCCTCGGGAGTTGGGGGTGCATCTTTGTCCCCAGAGTCACTCCTCACTTGCCCTGCTTTCTCCACGTGGGACTTTCCCACTAGATTCATGGAGGAGAGTGAGCAACACATCCAGACAACTTCGTCCTTTTGCTTTCTGCACCCTTCAACCGTTTCTCAAGCTTCTGTATCCAGAATGCTTATTCTGACGGCTTGGCCAGGTATCCATCCCTCTGCACTGAGGTGTGTGTGTTCAGGAGTGTGTGTATATATGTGTGTGCATGTGTGTATGCTCATCTGTATGCATGTGTGTGAATGGACATGCGTGTGGGGGAGTATGTGTATGTATGTGTGCGTGCATGTGTGTGAGTGTGCATGTAGTAACTTCCTTCCCGATCTGTCTTTTGTTTGCCATTAGATGCAGAGCTGTGGTCAGAAAGGGGTTTCTCTCTGCACATCTCTCCCTAGGACTTATGCCAGGCTAGGCCGGGTACTGGAGAATAACTGGACCCCACAGGACTCTCAGGTGCCAGGGGACTCATTCTCAAAGCTCCTTTCTCCCTGGGCCGAACCCATCCTTGTTTACCACACAAGGCCTTTACCCAGCACAATCACAGCATTGAGATCCTCACGGAGACAGGCACTGCCCTGCACTTGACCTCTTCTGTACAGAAACACTCAGTCTCATCCCATCCACCAGAAACGGGCATTTTGGGCTTTTCCAGAAGAAAGGCTGAGGGTATATGAAGAGCCAAGTTTACCCGAACTCTGGCACAGCCAAACACCCACTGTGGTATTCGGCTTCACTTCCAGATGGGGACACTGGACTATGTCCATCAGCCCCAAGGGGATGTTTAGGGCAATGTTATCACCATCTTTCATTTGCTTTTCAAGCAAAAAAGATATTGGCCACAAGGACATGCCTATGATCACCTCACTATGCCACCCAGGCTCGCCTTCAGCCTGACTCCTGGGCTCAAGCAACCATTCTGCCCCATCCTCCGGAGAAGCTGGGAAGATAGTGGTGGTGAATGCCTTTGATCTCAGCACTTGGGGGGTGGGGACAGAAGAAGGTGGATGTTTATGAGTCTGAGGCCAGCCTGGTCTACATAGTGAGTTCCAGCTCAGTCAGGTCTATATAGAGACCCCATCTGAGAAAAACAACAATAAGAAAAAATAGAATAAACAAAAACCTCACATAAGTTATTGTTTTGTTTTGTTTTGTTTTGTTTGGTCTTGGATTTTGCTTTTGCTTTGAGACAGAGTCTCAGGTAGTCCAGGCTGGCCTCAAACTCATTACCTAGCCAAGGAGGATCTTGAACTTCAGATTCTCCTGCTTCCACCTCCCAAATGCTTAGGTTCCAGACGTATGCCATCATGCCCAGTTTTTGTGATGCTAGAGATTGGACCCCCAGTCTTATGCGCACTAGGAAAACACTCTGCCAACTGAGCTACATGATCAATTCCTACCTTCTGTTTTACCCAGAAGTAAAATGAAGCCCAGAGTGACTAGCTTGACCATAGGCACACAGCTCGGAAAAAGCAGATTCACACCAAGGCTCATGTCTGACCAGAGCCCTGACACATCATACGTCTGGTTGGTACCTAAAGCTCTAGCAATCACTTCCACAAGCACCTCCTCATTTACTCCTTACCCAGAGAGTTTACGTGATGTGGCCAAGGTTATACAGCTACATTAGTGGGAGCGAGCGCTGAGTCAGCTACTGGCAGCCTTCATTATCCACCACTACCTCCCTCTGTGAGCAGCTCTCAGGTGAGCACAGGGCTGCCCCTCCCTAGCCTGACTTCTGTTCCGGACAATGGCTACAAGAATTCAACCTATGATCGCATCCGTGTCCGGGTTTCTCCCAGTTGAACTTGGGCAAAGATAGTTGTGATCTCCGAGGGCACCTGACACCCACGGGGCCTCCCTTTCCTGGACTCTTCCGGGTGCTGGAGGCAGTACCAGCTGTGGGCAGAGATTACCCGGCAGCCAGCTTCCCTCGGTTTCACTTGCTCTATACTTCCTTTTGACTGTCCTGTCTTGCTCTTTGGTCCTGGTAACCCCGAAGCAGCTCTCTCCTGTCACCGCTGGGTTCCCGAAGCACGTGGCATAGCTGGGGAATGCCTGTGCTGACGCAGGCTCTTGGCTAATTTGAATGAAGTAGACTTCAGAACCCTGATCCAGTCATCACATGAATTTGCCCAGCTCATCCTTCTTAGCCTTTCTGATGGCAGGGGAACGCTCTCCTGTCGGGAGGGGAGGAGGGCCTGTGGAATGCACACACACCTGCGGTTAAGTGAACATAGCCCTGGAGGTTCTTTGGTGTGTCTAGAGTCATTAACGTCAGTCAATGCCTGCCTTTGTGGGTCTCGGGATGAGCTCAGAGTGCAACCCTTAAAGCTCTCCCTGAGACCACTGCGGTGAGTTCCTGCTTAAGATAGAGGCTTCCCTTTTTGAGCTTTGTGGGCAAGTTATCATCAGCAGTGTCCACAGAAGCAGTGGTCTGGAGTCTGGAACGACTGGCCCTTGGGCAAGTAACAGGAGGGTTCTCCTTGTAGTCTTCATGAGGTATGGAACAAGTGAGGAAGAGAATCAGGAAGTTGGTGACAGTAAGTCATACACTCCCTATACAATACCACAGAACTCTGCTCTCTACCCCTCAAAAGTGCCAAGCATCCAAGGGGGAATCAAGCAGGCAAGGGACCCCACCAAAAAGGCTTCCCCTGGTTTGTCCCTTTTGCGCAAAGGTGACATGGCAGGAAGGACCCTCTCTGAAGGTCTTCCCGCGCTTGAGCACATGAAGTGATCGCAATCTGGGGAAGCGCAGGGTAGGCGCTCGGGTGTGTGAGACGGGAAGAGGGGTCGGAGCTCCCCGCTTAAGCTCCTCCACCCCCGTTTCTGGAGCGCAAAGGTGGAGGGGGTCTCCCCAGGCGAGGCGCTGGTTGGCACCGCACCAGAGGAGGTGTCTGGCTCGGCCCCTTCATTTGACTGCGGGTCGGAGAGGAGTGGGGCGGGTAGCAGGAAGTCGGGACTCAGAGCGAGCGCGAGTGAAGCGAGTCCCCGAGAAGCTCAGGGCTGCGAAGTCCAAGGGCACCGCGGGATCGAGCGCCCCACTGCTGCTTACCTATCGCGCCGAGGCCGAACCGCTGCCGCCGAGTCATTTGCGGGTTTCCCGACGGGGAGTCTGGGAGGGCGGGCGGGCCCGGCGCGGGGCGGGTCCTGTCATGGGTGGAGCCACACCCCGCTCCGGCAGGTGCGTCGACTCCGCTCCCGACACGGGGAGTCAGACCGCTCTCTCCAGATCCCGCCCCTCCCTCCGGTGCAGTGTCTGCGGATACCCCAGACCGCCGGCATCGCAAGCCGCGGGCGGCGAGGGCCCCCGACCAGGAGCCACAGTGGCTGCGGCGCCCAGAGCCTGAGGCCCCCGGCGGGGGTCGTGCTGGGCGGTGGCTAGTCCAGAGGCTCGTCCAGGTGTCCCAGGCAGATAACTCGCGGACACATAAATTCCCTTTCCTGTTGTGGAATATTATTTAACTAGGGAAAGATGTGTTACATTTGTATATACTGCAGAGTGACTGTAAATGTGTTTTGTTTATGCTGCACTTGTTTAGTGATGTAAAGATGTGTGTGTCTGTTTCACCTTGCCTGCCTAAGGCACCTGATGAGTCTAATAAAACGCTGAACAGTCGATAGCTCGGCAGAGAAAGGCAGGTGGGACTGGCGGGCAGAGAGAATAAATGGGAGAAGAAATTTAGGCTCACAGCTGAAAGAACGGAACCAGAAGGAGCAGAGAAAGAGGGACATGCCGGGGACAAGAAGCCAGGCAGAGGACAGACAGACTGAGAAAAGCAGTGAAAGTAAGATAAGGTAATAAGAAAGAAAGGTAATAAGAAAGGAAGGTAATAAGCCCCGAAGCAAAATAGATAAAGAGAAAAGGGTTCATTTAATAAAGAGCTAGCCAGAAATGCCTCTAAGCAAGGCCCAGCGTTCAAAACTAGTCAGTCTCTATGTCATGATTTGGGAGCTGGTTGGTGGCTCAGAGAAAAAGCCTGGTACCTCGCCCATCTAACGGCTGCAGTCGCTTATGTGTCTGTGCCTTGTAAATTAGAGGAGTTGTCCGGCTTGTTTACAGGGGTGTGGGATCTGAACCCTGGTCCTCATCACTGAGCTGCAAATGCTCTTTACTGCTGAGCCATCTCTCTAGCCCTCGTGTGTGTGTGTGTGTGTGTGTGTGTGTGTGTGTGT